AGCTCTAAGTACAAATGTTTTAAAACATGCTTTTGAATAAATGGAAATCAGTGTATCGGTTTTGGAAAACATCTTTATAGCAGGTTCACTCTCCTGAATGCATGCTCACCGTTTAATTTTTTTTTCTGCAACAATCTCGCCCAGGTCTTGAGTGTCCACAAACCGTCCTGCTGCAGCAGTTGACTCAAGGGAGCAGCCACGCTGTTCGCAAAACACCTCTTCCAGCTGAGAAAGGCACCAGTCGTGAGACATCATCGCCACTAGGAAGAACTGCATCGGTACCATCAGCAGATGGCTCTGGTCAGTACTGCAGTTCAGAGCAATTATGCAATTGTCCTTTGTACAGGGAACAAAATAGACATTAAATACGGATCGTGTTCAGTTTTATCTTGTATGAAATCTCATGCTGTATTTAAAGCTGGTGAATCTAATCCTTGCTTTTTTTTTTATTTCTCTGCATCTTCCTGCTTCTCTCCTCCCCTGTGTTCTTACACGTCTGCAGCAGTTATTGTATTAACAAAAATTGGGGATGACTCCTGTATAATAACATTTTATCTGAAACCATGCCACGATGGGAAGATGGTAATTTAGTTAATTGAATTCCCTCTAAAATGGTACTGAATCAATATTCCAGCACAGCGCTAGCAACACGTAGCTGGCGATGAAGTATTGCATGCAACGTTCACAGTCAAACCAGTATCTCAGGGCACTGACTGCAAGGATTTGAAATTCTAGCCCCAGGTTTAGATGTATACCTCTGAGAAAGTGCCTGACCCTCCGGGATACAGGCTGCTCTCTGAATCTCGTCTGAACACGATTTACAGCCTAGTCTGTGTATTTTGGAAAACATTGTCCATCAGGCCAGCAGTGAAATGGAAAAGTACTGAGGAAGGCAGCGCAGGTACAACTCGATAGGGAAGCTGTTTTGCCTGGCGTGAGACCAAGGATCTGCACTCTACCAGCACAATACACTCTGCAGAGGGATGCTCGCTGAGGGAGCAGTTTTTTGGAACAAGAACATCTATAAGCACTTCCTGGTGCTCCTACACAGTGACAGAAAGGGTAAGACCTTGCTGGGCTTATTGGCATCCACTGTCTCGCTCTTCTAGGAATGAATCTACGTCCTTGAGGAAGAGAGTGATCAGTCTTCATCAGTGTCTCTGGTCAAACCACTCATCCCAGAGAAAAATGACCTCTCAGAGGAGCCAGATCCCTCGTCCCAGGGACACAACCTGCTGTCAAAGTGTGAAGCGCATCAGACATGACCCCAGATGATTTTAGATACTCTCTAGGGAAGTGACCTTGGGGGGCAGAGAACACATTTTACAGCTAAAGTCATCATAACCACTCAGCTGAGCTTTCTGGGCTGCACGTCTCACTGGCAAGCTGGGACATCAGCCTGCAGGAGAGGCTGGGTTTGTCCAAAACGGTGGAGCAGGTGAGTGTTTGTGGTGGCAGGGTTGGGGGTGAGGTCTGGCGTGCCCCTCCACTGTGGGAGTGGGGCCGGAGAGCGGCCAAGGGGAAGAAACGAATGGGAAGGAGAAAAAAGCTTCACGCCTGGGGCTTGGATCAATGCAAACAACATAAATACTGGCTGAGACACCTTCTGCCCGCTGGCTCCTCCACTGTGAGGGAATTACTCGCTGGCTGCAAAATGTCTTTCTTGAGCTGGTGTGGAGCCAACCTCAGAGCAAATGCTTGGCCAGAGCAAATTCATTAGCACAGGGGAAATGGCTGCAAGCCCTTTTTTCTGGGCTGTGTCACTTTTCATCACAGAAAGTGGTTCTGCAACTAATATTTTAAGGTCTCCGCTGTCTCAGCAGCCTGTGGCACCACTTCAAGCTTCACTGGGAAAACAGCCGGAGCTGCTGGTCCTGTGGAAGTTCCTTCAGGTTACGGTCTTCTCGAGGGCTGAGCGCCCCAACTTGGCCTCTCCTCGTCCATCCTGCGCTCCAGTGCCAACCGTCCTGGGGACCTCTGCTTTCCTGTCCACGTTAGTCATGAAGACTGATGTTTAAAGGCCCTATTCCTTGCACTTACCTACCCGTGAGGCCACGTCTCCACCTGGCTTTGACCATGCTTAGGGGCTGCGTGATGTATCTGTACTGCAGATCACAGCCACGGTGCTTCGGGTGCTTTTTCTAAAAGGCCTTCACACCCTCCTGCAAGAATGAACGGGGCGAGCCTTGTACATGCATACACAGCCAACAGCTCCCCGGGAGATCGCTACACCGGTATTTAGAAAGCTTTCCGGTTTTGGTGAAGACCCAATCCAACGTCTTGTTGTTCCCAGGAAGCTGTTCCCATCACTTCAGGGGAAGACCGACTTCTTTCCAGGCTGATCTTAGGCACTTTTTCAGTCCTTAGACCCTGTTGGGTCTTTGCCAGCACTAATTCCCCTGGGGCTGGTTTGGCAGGACCGAGATACCAGACTAGGTGGTGCCAACCAGCCCGGCCAGAGTGGTCTGGCCATTGCTACCCTCACCACCCAGCCCTGTCCCCATGCAGGGAACAGCATGCGCCGGAGCTGCCTCCTTGGGAACAAGGAGACGGTCGGAGGGGGAAAGTCCTGTGTAAGCTGTGGAGTGAGCGGTGGAGACCTTGAAGAGGAGCTGGAGCAGGTAAGGAGAACCTTTAGGCTGGGTGGTTTGGCAGCGCGTGGGAACTGCTAGCCACTGCGTGACTTCTGCCATGGCTTCACAGGCTGCAGAGAAGCTGCTTCTGTTCAGGATTCAGAGCAGGATGCAACCAACTGATGGTAAGGCTCGGCCGAGCTGACTGTCCGGGGGAGAGGTCCAGCAGCCCCTGCCCTGGCTGCTCCATCACCTGAGCAGCAGCAGCTCAGCTCCCCTTGCTTCTAGCTGAACTTATGGAGGTAACTCCGAGTGAGGACCCATCCACCCTCCTTGCTGGCTCGCAAACCATGGGCGTTCAGCAGCTGCTAGGTGGACAGCTGAGCTGCTGAGGTCCCCAGCCTCAGAGGCAGAGGTGGGGTGAGCAGCTGGGGGCGGAACGCCTGCTGCTCCCGAATGCCGTGCTCTGCTGCTGGACGCGGGGATGCCAGAGCCGCTGCTCTTGTCACACGCAAGGTTAAAACCAGGCAGAAATCTCCTTCCCGGGCTTGATTTCCCACTATCAAAAGCATACCAGCACCCACAAATCCCCTTCAGAGCTGCCCTGACATGGGTGCCCCCCCCCCCGCTCCACCACCAGGTCCTGACCGGTGCCACGTACCGGCAGGGGATGAGTCCCATGGGGCCTGGCCCGCTCACTCTTCACAAAAATGGTCTTCCTTCGCAAAGCCTCCAAGTCTGCGCACAAGGATGGGGCTGTGGGTGACACCTCCACGGAGCACGAGGCAACGCAGGACAGCCTCGCCCTGGGAATTTTGCACCTCATTTTTGCAGCTGGGCAGTGGAGTCAGGAAAGGGTTAAAGCCCCCATCAGCAACAACTTTTCAAAGGAGGAACATTGGATCTCAGAAAGAGCATTTAGGGGCACAGACAGCCACGAACGCCCTCTGACCTGTTCAAAGGGGGGCTAATACCCCCCCAGCCCTCATCCCCAGCCTGCCACTGGTAGACCCTCACTGAGGGTGAGGCTGAAACCAGCCCAGAAGACGACAACCCCTTCCTTCTCCTGTGTTTTAAAAAGCAGGTGACTAGTATGCAGAAGGTGCAGGGCTGTGCAATGGCAGGGAGCAAGCCCACCCAAGCCACATGCGTGTCCCCAGCACATCCCTCGCGGCGTGGGCAATGCCAGCGCCACAGCTGAGGCACCTGCGAAATAACCCCTGCGGGTTATTTAGGGAGCCCGGCTCCAAACAGATGACCACAGAGGTGGGTATCTAGCTGGAAAGCCTGGCACTGCCACCCAGGCAGCACTGCAGCAGGCTCTGCCCGTGCCTGGGATCGGGGTGGCAGCACCTGCACCCAGCCTTGTGCACCCAAGCACCCACGGCAGCAGCCACCCTATCCCGGAGCCGCCGTCCCATCCCGGAGCCCGGCCCGTTCCCAGGGATCGTTACCAGGAGCTCGTGTGTTTGGTTGCAAACAGAGCAGGAACAGGAGCCAGGCGCTCGTGTTTGTGTGCCTGCAGTTGCTCAGGCAACTCGGGGTGGCAGCACCTGCACCCAGCCTTGTGCACCCAAGCACCCACGGCAGCAGCCACCCTATCCCGGAGCCGCCGTCCCATCCCGGAGCCCGGCCCGTTCCCAGGGATCGTTACCAGGAGCTCGTGTGTTTGGTTGCAAACAGAGCAGGAACAGGAGCCAGGCGCTCGTGTTTGTGTGCCTGCAGTTGCTCAGGCAACTCAGGGCCAGCCAGGAGCTGCCAAAACCGCCGGCGGCCAGGGCCGAGCCCACAGCACGGCTGCCCTGGGGTGGCACAGCCAGCCGAGAACCCACCGCCCGGGTGGGCGAGCGGGCAGAGGGGCTCTCGCTGCTCGGTCCCGCTGAACACAACCAGACCGGGGGCGTCAGTGCGGACGGGGTTTTATTGCAGAGCCAGGTTACAGCGCGGGTCTGCAGCATCCTTTGGTTTGGGCTTCACGAGGGCAGCGGGAGGCCACGGGGGTTCAGGTCAGAGACCTTTGCCAACAGCCAGGCAAGCCCAAGCTCTGCCGGGGTGCATCTCGGGGCCAAGCTGGGAGCATCCCGGCAGCACCGGCACTAACGGCACTGCAGGGTCTGAGCCTCCTGCGGTGCCGGGCAAGTGGCAAAACCGGGCAGCCCCGCGGCGAGGGCACTGCACAGGCAGGCACCGGTGGGGAGGGAAGGAGCCGGCTGTGGTGTAACTGGTGCAGGGTTAAGGCAGGTCCCCGGGAGGTCTGCAGGGAAGACAGGCTGAGGTCCCCGGTGGGACTGGCAGGGAGGGTGCCCCGAAAGCCGGGGCTGAGGTAGGGAAGGTCTGGGTGCCAGCGGGGCAGGGGAGCCCTGAGGA